GATATAACATACAATGCTAATCTATGGCTACAAGCCGCTATGCTAATTAACGCTTACGTTTCAGCAGTTTGGGGAATACTATACGGTCTTTATATACTCTTTAACGTAAGTTTAAGCAATTTTTGCTCCCTGAAATAAAGTTTCTGTCTCTATTAAATACAGTTAGAAGAAATGCAGGATATCTATGGGCGCTCGATTATATTAGTTTATATATTATCACTGCTGGCTGAGATTTATCGTTTGCGTGCAGGCTATAAAGGCAACTTGATGGCAGAGGTGAGTCAATTAAATTTATTTGAAAAGCATATACAAACTATATATCTACCAAGAAACTGCTCATCAAAGTCTTCAATAATTTGTTCTATAGATCAGTGAACTGAGCATCTTTCTTGTAACAACACCGCTTATACAATTACCTATACTCGTGTTCCTCTTTCTCTCCGTTGAAGGGAATTGGCAGCTTATATATGTACTCATTGAATTGATATTCTGTCTAATGATAGTGGAATTTATTGCCGGTGTGTGGACTTGGCATATCTTCGCCAAACATCAAAGTGAGTTGCATAAATTGAAGCGACAAATCGCATTGCAAATACGTAATGCCAGACAGAGAAATGATAGCGATGATAAAACAAGGAGTGTGCCATAGTTTAAATGCATAATAGTTTATTTTTTATACTAATTAACAGAAATAAATTAAATAAATCGCATGTCCGCGATGAAATTACTATTCAACTCGAATTGAATTTCAGGTTTAAAATAACGATACAGCAATATTTCATAAATTTGGACTAAGTCCGCAATAACAAAATTTAATACATTCAATATAAACGTAAAATTCTTAGGCCTATTATAAATATTGCCCTAATTCAAGATAGCTTCGGTTCAATAGACCCAGACCCCGAAAGGTGCATAGAAGCCTCTTCATTAAACTTATCTAAATTTTTTTTTTTTTTTTAAGCATGCAACAAAAACAAAACACAAGTATTATGCGGGTTGTTAGCAAATTTCCGCCTTCTCACACCTTTGCATCATCCAAATTGTGTTTTTTTAGCAGCGCGTCAATCCGATTCAAGTGACAACGCATCACTGGCAAATAGTTTTCCAACACTTGCAGATTCTCATCGTGCGCCTCACCCTGTCCAATCAGTTGTGAGCGTGTTGGCACCCAATTGTAGATTATCTGTAACAAGAATTAAATCATAATTTACATGCAAAGAACCAGTAACCCATATCGGTGCCGACCACAATTATTGACCTACTTTTATTGTGCCCTGTACTAAGAAACCATGATATGGCTTCAGTGTACGCTCATATGCATTTTGCAGATGCAGCTTCAATGCCTCTGTTGCCTGTGTGTCATTGAAGATATTTTCGAAAAATGTACAAATCAATTGTAGGCCACGCTTTAGCCATAATAGAGCATTCGCCGCAAAATTATCTACATTCACATTTAATATTATCAAGTCCTCAAGGTAAGCATACAATGCTTTGTCCTTGTTGTAGACCTTTGTTAGCTTCTGTAAATGTTAATTAATTTCTTTTTTTTAATTATAATTCGCCAAAGGGGGATATGAACAAATAGGCACTTACCGTAATATTGCCATTCATATCATTTACCACAGGTGTAAATAGTTTGCCAAATGTCTCTGTAAGTGAGATGTGGAATTGATCAGTGTTTTTATTTAATCATTGTTACTCATATATATAACGAATTGATTGCATTCATTATTTAGTTCAGGTAAGAACTTATGAAAGAAATCCCTGGTGTTTATCGGGATGGACTTCAGTAAAACTATTGTATTTGTTAGGGCGAAATTAAACTAGTAAAAGCAGAATTTTTAAAATATTCAGGTTTGGGGTAACTTTGGTGATGAGAAAAAGCAAAAAATTTAACTGAAATTTCATATGTAATTAAATTTTCTTTAGGCTGGATAATTACAAACATCTTTCTCTACCCTCTCTAATGTAGCATATCGCACATGTTAATCAAATTGCATTAACTCAAAAAAAGAAAAATCAAACTACCACATCAGAGCTTATGTTAGTCAATGGTGGAGGGAAGTATTTACTTTTGTCAACTTTTGTTCAAAGAGGAATACATGTTCAGTGAATATTTTTAGTACATACATAATTTCAAAAATTACAGTTTTTGAGTTCATAGACTTCTGAAGAGTGAAAGTGCATTTTTTTCAAATTTTACATGGGAAAAAACTTCCCAAACTAATTTTCTGCAAAACTTTTATAAAAAAAAATGTATGTATTCAAAGCAAAACCTGGCTCCATGTGAATTGGTAAAGTTCGATGCAGGGACCGAAAACAACCCTTAAGTATCAAAATTTTTATTTTTATACCATTGCATAATCGTTTTTTGGTTTTTAAGTTCTCCATCGAGAATAATCGCTAAATTTCGATTTTAATTTCTTTAGTGAAATTTAGTCGTAATTTTGTGATTTTTTTTTCAATAAAGAATAATCGTTTTTTAGATATTTTCGACCATTTTTAACCGTTATAATGGGTAGTGAATTTTTTGATCGAAAAATAAAGAAAAACGAACAAAAATTGATAAAATTTACGATCCAAAACTGGAACGTATTCGCTCTCTATTACTCATTTTTCTAGCGTGAAGAACGCTTTCTGGTCTGTTTTGGGCACCCGTGGGATTCCGTGGGCTCATGTGGAACCTAAAAAAAAATCAAAAAATAACGGTTAAATTTGATCGGAAAAACTGAAGTCCAATTTTAAGAGTTAAATATCATTTTTATTATAAAGATCATAACCGCTACGGCTCTTGGTTCGAAGTTAATAAACATTTTTTGTAATCTTGAATTTATCAGTATTTCTGTGCTTTCTTTGGGTTTGGCATATTTTTTCAATTCACTGCTTTGAAATGGATAGAAATAAAATAAGTAATTCATTCGGTCTTTTTGGGAACGCTGTACTTTTAATTTTTTTTTGATGCTCGATCAAAATGTAAGTTTTCATAAAAAGTGAACTTAGCAACTTTTCACTCTAAGCTAGCGATATGAGTGGACATTAGGGTGGTCCAAAATAAGTAAAGACTACTAAAGTAGTAAGCATTGAACATACATAGTTGAGACAGAGGTTAGAGACATGAGGCCCTTGAGAGTAAAGGCTTAGTTATTGCATAGGACCATCGATGTGTACATGCATATATACATAAGTACATATCAGGGCTGCACATTAACGTTAAATTTATCAATAAACGAAAAAACAAAATCGTTTTGGTTTTTTAAATCGATAATGTTAACATTATGTGTTTAACAAAAAAATACATTATAGATTATGTCTCACTTACCAATAATAGTAACGATTTCCGTAGCAGCTTCAAGAAAGGCCTCTGTCTCAATTTTCTCCACAATTGCTGGTGGGAAGCCTTTAAGGGTTTTAAATCGAATGCGTGGCGCGGACATAATTCTTTGTCTAACACCCTTGAATGTATATGTTTAGTATATAATATCAAGACTATCTAAATTCGCGCAAATATACCAATACATATATACAAAATAAGCAAAACAACTCTTTTTGTTTTATGCGTTCGCTGTTATTTGGTTATGACAAACCTCAACCAACTATTCAAAACTGCATACAAATATCCAAAATAGTAAATACCCAATATTTAGTTCGAATTCGATTTTTAGTGATTTGACTTTATCTTATCAATTATTTAGTGATAACGACAGCACTGATAAACGGAAGTGAGTGACATAAAAAAGGCTGAAAGAGATTTTGTATTAAGTCTCGCTGGAGCAGTTTGCCCTCTACAAGTGTTTCAAACGTTGTGATTACAGTTGAACTATGTAATGTAAAATACGATTGTGAGTGGCCTTTACAGTAGACGATCAATCAGCAGCTTTATTATTACGTTTCTTGCTGTTCAAACGTTTTAACTGCTAACGTGGCTGTGCGTCAACTTGAGTAGAAGTGTGACTTTAACGACATCAATGCGGCAACTAACAAGCCAGTCACGGCACAGTCGGTGCTAACATAAGTTTAACTCTCTTCTTTTAAAAGCATCAAGGTTTTCAAAGAAAGCTTTTTCCATCATTTTTGTGGTTAATGTGAAGCAGCACAACAATGCCGGGCTTAGCTAGCTGGGTTATAATTGTCGTATTTTTATAACGCTGATTATTTTGTTCCTTTTAAATAGTGCGTGATTGCTGTATATGAGTATGTATGTATGTATGTTTATGAGTATAAATATTATAGCTCTGATTACTGATTTGTTTACCACATAGAGTATATTTTCTTTTTTGTTCATTGTACTGCTTCCAAGAGACGGCGACACAGTTATGTACATACATACATACTATATGTAGGTATATGCACTTTTGCAAGTGTAATGAAATACTTTCTTGCAAATGCAAAGGCTCTCAAATGAGTTTTTAAATAAGTTGCTATTAGAGCATCAGCGACGCAGGAAATAGTGTTGCTGAAAATAAGCAAAAAATATACAGTGAATTTCTTATTTGCATTCCTACATTCTTACAAGTGCAGGTGATTATTTTAGATGATGTAATAAAGTTTCACTTATATGAGTCATTTGTAATTATAAATACGACGCCAAGGTAAACAAGGGGTTAAAAAATGGTTTAAATGTAAAAGTAAAATCTTGCCGACCATATACCAGACCTTAAATAAAAAGTCATCAACGCTACAAAAAACTCAGCAGTATTATGAAAATTCGGTAAAAATTGCTTTTATGAAATATTTGCACATACCTATGTAAGTGCTTAGAAAAAAAAACGTATTTAGTTGCTGTTAACTGTTAATTCCATGAAGTCGGCGCTTAATTAAGATTAGTATTTAGGAAAATAATAGAAAAGTTTTTAAATAAATACTTATACATACATACATATGTATGTATATAAATATGTAAATACTTACCATTACCTAGAAATTTGCAAAATACGAAATATTTGCAAATATTTGAATTTTAGTATTCATTAAATCGCTTCGTCAACCCCGTCTTTGTCAGCACGAATAAATAGTGATTTTCCTCGTGTGCCTCTTTTGGCAAATGAAATGTATAAATCTCATCGATGTCTTTGCCCGATTGCAACTCGTACCAGTATTTAACTAAACTATTGTCCATGCAACGCACCTCAATCAAGCACAACGGATGATTGTCTCCTGCGGATATGACACAATTATTAACCGCATCATACGTTATCTCCGCATCGCCCGCTCTCTCTTCGTCAGCGCTTCCATTGTGAATTCTGAACCATTTATGGTGCGCTAAAATTACTGCACAATTGCGGGTAAAATAAAAAGAATCGCTTGTTTTTTGTTCGTGGTATTTGTCGAGAAAAGAATTTGTCGTGCGCTTGAGTTGTGTAAAACGGGGACGAGTTGCTACTTGAGCGATCACTTTTGGCGCCACGTGCTGTATGATTCTATCTGGCAGATGTTCCGTCAGATTATCTAAGGTAAAAACTCGATTTACATAATCAAAGCCATTGCCCATCACACCATCTTGAGTGTGCCCCAGATCAAAGGTGTGCCCGATTTCATGCACTACAGCGCCTAAAGTAGTGGCATAAACTCCGCCGTATGTACGTCGATAGTTGCTGTCATCGGGCAATTCCGTTAGATCTACTTCTTTGGTGCTTCCAAAGCAAGTTTGTATTGCATTACAAGTCTGCGGCCATGCAAATAAATAGGCTGCGCCAAAAAGTGCCAGGCCCCCACCTCCCAGGGCTGCGTGTCCCTTTAAATGAATGCGTATATTTGCATATGAAAAGTCGCCTGAGGCAGCTACTGCCGCACCGTCATATCTCGTACAACTAATGAATGCCACAAATTTCAGTTTGGAATCTTCACCCCAATTGCTGGAAGTAAGTAGCTCTTGTGCGAAATTTTGCCACAAGTCTTTCTCGTTCTGCTGCCAAACTTCTTCGCACGATAAATTGGACTCAAATACTTGACAATCGCCGTTTATCGTAAAGGTACGCCTGCCAAAACCCGCTGTTCTTAGCTGTTCGGCATAGATACATTGAACCAAACGTAAATTCAAGTTTATTTTCTCACAATTTTCATGAACAAGCTCCTCGGGCACACTTTGTTTAGAACATGTAATATACAACGGTTGCAAACGATACTTTTTGTTGCTGCTATCGGCAGCTTTATATAAAATCTCCAATTGATGCGAAGTATTGCAGAAACTAAAATCTAATTGCAATTGAACCTCCTCTGCTAGTGACACATGTTGACCCAGATCACATAGCAGTTTGAACTGGCCGTTTCTTGATATTGGGGTATGTTGTTGCAATTCCCCTGCACTATCTGCATGCACTGATTGCTGTCTCAACCGCAATACAAGTTGCTCCTCCACACACTTTTTTGTTGTGTTGTTGGGCAATGGAAATCGTGGCTGACGGATGTGCCCCTTAATAAGAAGTATTGTATGGTTAATGATTTCTCCGTTGTCCAGATTATCCACTTCTATTCTATGCTCGCACATACACCTATTCATTGCCCTTTTAATTGAGAACTATTTAAGTGCTATTACACCTGATATTTTTCTGATAAGAAACAGCAAGTACTAGTTAGAATCAGCTGTGATTGCAAGGTAAAGAGAAAGGCAGTCAGCTGTTTTTTGTTGTAGTTGCATCGGCACTGTTGCCAACTTCCTAGTTTTCGTACTAAATTTGGTGCTTTTCTTTATTCAAAATGCGAAAATTTTTGAGCTTGCTGCTTGGTGTTTTTTTAGTTTGAAGGCCCAAGATTTATTCATCTTAAAAAAATGAAAGCTTAATTTATAGCTTTGTAAGCAACTTTACAAAAATGGAAACAAAATCATTCCAATGCCAACCACAAGTAAAAAAGAGTATCAAAAACAGGCAGGGCATGTAACTCCATTGTTTTTGGTACTAACACTTCAAAATTTTTGCTTAGGGCGATTTTACGCAGACGATCATATATATGACTGGGTTGTAAATTGCGGTAGGCGATGTCTGTGTACCTGTCTCGCATGTTTTGGTTGCGGCTACTACGACTGCGTCTGGGGTGAGCGGCTTGGAAAGAGCACTCGATGGTCGCATA